TGGGGCCATGCTCGCCAGGCTTCTCCCCTCTTCCCACACTCCATCCTTCGGAGGTGAGTCACTAAGCACAGCCCACTTTCAAGTGGAGAAGGGGAAGGCCATGACTGAAATTTCTATAATTTTTCAAGGTTTATGAAATTTCAACTTTATAGCAATTTGCTTTTCAAGTAAAGATCTGTTGTTAAAATGAACGTTCATTAATATATTTGACATGAGTAGTGTTGCAGGTGGAGGAAATATAGGTGTCTTTATCACTATGTTTCTGTCAAGCTGAAAGATTTTTCTTTGAAGTAAAGCAAATACAGTCATTAACTCTTCTGCCCAGATCACGGCTGGCAAATACCTGGCATCTCCCCATGCGCCCGCGGCGGACGATGATATTGCTAATGGCTCTTAGAGCACTGACGCAGCTGTGTACACAATGACAGAAGTACCAATGAAGGAAGCATGAGCGCCCAAAGCAAGCTCCACATACATCCATTTACCTGCATCAGGAAAAGTCTAGCAGGATAACGATGAAACTATTCATGGGAATTGTCTCTTTCTTATGGATTCGAGGGGTTTTCTTTCTCTTTCTTTTGCTTCCCTACCTTTCCTTATTTTCCCATAATGATTATATAGTATTTACACGCCATTTAAAAATCCTAAACCAAAAAAAAAAAAAGATAAATATTGTCAATCTTAGTATTCCCTCCACTCTCCACGTCCACAGGAACATACATCATGCTCCCAAAGGCTCAGACACAATTCAGCCACTTTTCACTTCCCCCCTGAGTTATCAAAGAGGCGCAGCTTTATCCTTCTCTCTGGTTTGACCTCCGTTTACCCCAAAGTGACTTACTTCGTCTTCAGGAGCCATTCTTGTGTGCGTGACCTGAAGAGAGGCATCGGGCAGCTTCAGAACTCCTGAGCAACTCTCAGGTACACTATTGCCTAAAAAGTGCAAGACACACAGAAACCCACGGCATCCCTCCGCTGTCCGCGTGGCTCCGGCCCCAGTCACACTCGGGACAGTCGGTTGCTGGCCAGCGGCTCTAAGTGGCCGTAAGCCCCAGGAGGTCTGCTGTGCTGCCAGGGAAGCTAAAGGCAATTCAAACCAAGACCACAGGTGGAATCCTCATCTAGGGGGCCCTAGCTCCCAGGAGGGAACCGCAGTTTCACTAGAGTTCCATGAGGGACAGAGCGGCCCGGCACACAGCACCAGGGTCATCGCCAGCGAAAGGAAGGGACATTTGAGAGCATTCACTAAGCTTGCTACAATCCGGCTCTTTTAAAAAGCCGTTTCACTGAAGGCTACAGAGGGATTTGCCCAGACAAGCAACGCTGCCCACAGGGCACCGTGGCAGGCCACTCCCCTCCATAAATCCCTTTGCAAAGTTATTCAAAGCCGTTCAAAGACTACGTGTCACAGGAATACACCTCAACATAAGGACAGCCTTTCACGTTAACTACCCAATAAAGAGTCAACCAGTGTGATGAACTGGGCGATTGGGGTTGACATGTATACATACACTGATGTGTATAAAACGGATGACTAATAAGAACCTGCTGTATAAAAAATAAATAAAATGAAATTAAAAAAAAATAGTCAACCACCTTATTAAAGCTGAAAAGGTTTACCTATGACAATCGATGTAGGACATCGTCACTTGAAAGAAGGGAAAGAAAGAGAGAGAGATTCAGAGAGCTGGGTCTTTTAAACCTTTCCCAGCGATTGCGAGCCATGTCATTCTTTTGAAAATGAAGTTTCACACAGAACAATGAAGAATGGAGGAAAAGAAAAGGCATTCTGGAAAGTATCAAAAGATTCCTTGAAAGCCTGCTTCCAAAGAGAAGAACTGAGTGAAGGGGAAAGAGAAAAAGGGAAAGAAAAAAATCTGCAAAAATGCTCTGTGACAGTCTGCCCAGGGCCTCTGTTTTTAAACACAATGCTGTCCCTGCAACTCGTGATGTGTTGGCAGATATGAACTCCAGCGGTTGAAGCTGGCGTGAAAAATGGGGGGGAAATCATTAATTTAATCATCGCACTTTATCTGGCAGACACATGCTTTTGTGATCCTTGGGAAAAAGATGGGCTCCAGTCCCACACGGAGGAGGACTCGGCCACCTGGCCGCTGGGAATCCGGGCTGCTGCCTCTGCCTTTAGTCCTTAATGGCTCTACAGAGAGACCAGCAAAAGCAGCAGCAGCTTCCATCGTAGCCAATTGCAGTCTGAAGCCACACAGGCCCACGGGGGAAGAGCGGAATCGCTAAATATAGGAGGAAGCAGGCATAGTCCGGGGCTGCAGGGAGAGAGCGCAGAGTGGCGGGGCTGGGCTGGGTCTGATTCTATCTCCTCCTGCTCTGTCCTGGCCCCGAGTCCCATTAGCCACACAACAGTCACCATGCCCAGCACAGAACTGCAGCACACAAGACAAAGGACCCCGGGGACGGCTGTCCCGCACCTTCATCGTGCAGGCTTAGCGCAGGAGTCTAGAATTTGGCTGTCTGCCTCATTCACAGACCCAGAGTGCGCCCAGCACCCCGGAACTGTCAAACCACACGTCTACACCCACTTACAACTCACTACAGGGCATCTACTCTCAGGTTTCTCTTATTTATGTTTTATTGCACATTCAAAATCTACTAAGTTTGATGATGTCATTTCTAAAGCCCTGGGAAATCCTCCGTAGCAAATCAGGAAAAGTGGAGGAAATAAACCACTCACAGACAACTCTTTACAATTATCAGGAAGTGACAGAGTTCAGGAGAAAAACTACGAAAACCAGTCAAGAGAATTAGGAGAATCTAGCAACCTAAAACTATCTCGTGGAACAGACCTTAAGGACATTAAATGGATCAGAGGGCGGCAGCCCTGCCTGGGCCCAGAAAACATCAGTCCTTTATTCCATATACACTGTGTAGACTTAATACACTAAGCTATGCAAAGGAGTAAAACAAATGAGATGCTGGCACGAAGTATTTGCATAAATACACATGTATACAGATACACACACACATACAATTTTTACATTCTGGTATTTTACAGGGTGAATCGCAAACCACTTACAAAACTCAGCCAGAATGACTCATCGCGCCTAAGGATTTCGGGGCACAACAATCCCAACAGGCTATTTTATTGCTAGCATTGACAGCCATGGCTTCAGTCCATTAAAAAATCTCTTAAGCAGGAAGCCTATTTCTCCATGGTCTCCCTTTCCAAAAATAACTAAGTTCCACCTCGAGAGCATCCGTGAGCAGAGTTTATAATCCTCTGCCCCTGGATGAACAGTCCTGCGTTATTTCCGGCACAGATTAAATAGAAGAGCCGAGATTCTGTGCGTTCACTGGCTGGAAGGCAGTAACATCACAATGGGTGATGCTGACTCCCACCAGCAGCCAGGGCTGAGACGGGAGCGTTGGGGACACAGCCAGGCACTCAAGATGTTGACAAAGTTATTTCAGTGCCATCATGTCGTCCGTAGAAGACCAGAAAGACAACTCAAGCTGCGTGACCAGTCGCAATTCAAACGCCTACTTATTTAGCTACGAAGCTTATCAATGCTCTATTCATTCCTTTGATTAATATGATTTCATAATATTATGATTATGGATGACTGGTTAAGTCTGGAACGATGCAAAAGGGGGGGATGATTAATTTAATAATTGCACTTGGTCCAGCTTGTAGTCCAGGGGAAAAAGCACTAAGAAGGCTCCAGGGACTGAAGTGGATGGAGTGACCTCCTGAGGTTAGAGCTACAGCCCGACCAACCCCAAAAAGAAACAGCTGCAGGCAAGCACTCTGAAGACAGAAACCAATACTAAAATGAATTCTAAGTACAGTCAGCTGGAATTTATCCACAGCAGAAGGCACAGAAGGAGGAGAGGCCCCCCGAGACTGACTGGGCCACCTCTGCCTCCTTCGTGCTCTGAGAGGTGACACCTGGGAATGGAGGGGGGTGTCAGGTGAAACCGCAAACAGAAAACTAAGCCCCAAAGAGTACGCCGTCCTAGAAGGAAGGGGCCACGGAAGCAAGTCACACCCACTAAGAAGACAGGGCGAGAGTCCCTGGGTGTTCTATTTGGCGTGTTACTGACGTGCGCGTGGTACACGTTTCTCTGTGGGCCTGTAAGACAGAGTGGCGTCTCATGTCCCTGGCATGACTAACAACACAATGAAAGGCTGAGGATTCAACTACATGACTTCTGAGGGATGCATCCTTCAAGGCTAAGCATACAAATAAAATAAACATCATTTATTCTACGCGTACTTGAAGAATTTCTGAAATAACAATACCAAGGAAATATCTGTATCTGAACCTTTAAGCCTATGTGTAAAACTGCAAGAAGACTAAATTTGTCTATCCTACTAATTTATACATTCATACATTCTTTCCACAAAGATTCACTTAACACTTCCACTATGTACAACAAGGCAGAAGGAGCTGAGAAGACATAAAATTAAAAAGATGAAGCAAAGGTGTAGGAGAAAAGTACAGAAAAAACGAGAGGGAAAAGAACCAGAACTAGAACCAGAACTGTACCCAGTGTAAGAGATTATTCAGAGCAATGGAGTTCATCAGCGAAGACTTCCTAAAAGGGGTAAACCTAAGCGGAGTCCGACGTCTGCGACACTCACACATTGGCAGAGAGGAGGAAAGAGCAGACGTTTCCACATCAGGGACGAGGGATCAGCAAAGGCAGGGAATTGGGGATTTCTAAAGAAGGGATCTGGGACCTCCCTGGTGGTCCAGAGGCCAGGACTCCACGCTTCCCCCGCAGGGGGCACGGGTTCCATCCCTGGTTGGGGAACTAAGATCCTGCGTGCTGCCTGGCGTGGCCCAAAAAATTAAAAAAATAAAAAATAAATAAAGAAGGGATCAGTCCGGCAGCAGTGGAGGCTCTGTGACACAGAACAAGCTCCAACCCAGCGGACACTGGCCTCGGACATGCTCCGACCCAAAGCCGCGTACCACAGGGGGCCCCAGGGAAGCGGCCCCGGGACACACAGGGCCCCTTACCTTTGCCGTAGAAGAACCTGCGGTAGTAATAGGCCCCCAGGTCGATGTGCTCGATGACGTAGCGCCTGACCTTCTCCCTGTGGATTGGCTGGTTCTCCCTGGGCACCTCCAGGACCGAGACGCCCGCATTGGTGCAGTGAGAGCTGAGGGAGGCCTCGAAGGAGCAGCCTTCCCCGGAACTGAAGGAGGACGAGTTGGCCCTGGACAGCGCGATCCTCCGGTCGCCCTCCCCGCCTGTCTCGTTCCGAAAGTAGGGACAGCTGAGGACCAGGTCGTTGCTCTTCCCATCCCCGTCGTCCGTGTCCAGGTTCTCTTTGGAGTTGAGGTCCTCTTTGCTCCCCAGCGGGGAGTCACAGCTGCCCGTCGGGCCCATGGGCATCTGGGTCTGGGATGCCGCCGAGGCCCCGGTGGTGATGTTTTTCCTCTTCCCCACGTTCGCCCTCGTGGCCATGGCTTCGTTGATATTAAACAAGATGCTCTGGACGTCATAATGTGCAAAGCAGCGCTGGCAGTTCCAAGGGCGGACGCCCCTCTCCAGACGCCCGTCCTCCAGCTCAGAGGCGAACTTGAACGTCTCGTGCTCACTTTTCACGGTCCGCAGCTTGCGGAAGAGGCACGTCTCCATGGACTCCGACTTCAACCTCCGTTGGAAAGGCTTGTCCCTGTCTCTCCCCAGGAGGAGGGCACTGTCCATATAGTCTAATCCTGAGATGTGCACGAATTCGCCTCTAGAAATCTGCGCTGCGGCGTGAAGGCTGGGGGAGATTGCAGGGTCGCAGGGGAAAAACTCGGGGAACCCGAACGGGGCCATCACCCTGTGGTCGTAGTTCTCTAGCCGGTAGCCTCGGAGCATAGCAAAGAAGTTCTCCCCCGACAGGCCCTGCCGGTCGATGGAAGACGTGCTCCCGTACTCCCGGTGCAGGGCGGCCCCGGTATTGGGGTTCACTGCGTTTTGGTCTAGGACATCTTCCGCGTCGATGTCACTGATGGTAACATCACTGTTGCTCCTCTGTCTTATGGGGTGCAGTCCTCTTTGCGGAGAGTGAACGAAGATGTCTCCGACGGTAGACTTCGCCTCCACGAAGTCGAGGTCGAGCGGCTCCTCTTGCTGGCGGTCACTCTGGTTGTTCTGCCCGTTGTGCATGATGGACGTGACACTTTCGTAGCTGGGCTGCGACCGGCTTTCCCACAGGGCCTTGCAGGTCAGCTCCTTGGAGCAGTCCTTTTTAGGAGGCCACTCAGACACCCTTGCTCTGACACCCATCTTGGGCACGGCCGGGGTACCGTTAGCCGGACCACCGTTCTCATTGGAACTGGAAGCATTTAAGGAAGGGGTGGGTCCCATGTTGCCATTGATGGCTTTAAATTTTCGAGCAAAATAATCATCGGACTGCATGATTCTGGGAGGACCCTTGAACTTCGACGAGGCTCTGCCGACCTTTTGCTGCTCTTCCTGTGACTGCCTGGGGTCACTCATGTCTACCGATGACGCAGGAAGCTCCAAGTCTCGCCGGAAAGACTGATGTAAATCCAATGACACTGTTATTTACAAAGGCTTCTTCTATACTTGTATAGAAGCAAACATCCTCAGAGTACAGTTCCTCCAAAACCAACTTGCTTCTCAGTTGCTGTAATAATTTTGAACACCTCTGTCCTTTTCAAAAGCATCCCTTAAGACATCTGGCCAGTTCCTTTACCTGAATTAAAAAACAGAAAATAGCCATTAACAATCACTGTAGCTCCAGGTCAATACATTCCCCACGTGGTTTCTCATCTGCCCTTCTCTCCAATTCCCCGTAAACTGTCGTGAAGTTTCATGGTTCCCTGTTCACACTCTCCTTCTCTCTGGAACACTCTGCCTACTCACTGTACCTGGCTGCTTAAAATTTACACCACACAATCGAGCAGTCCCCTCCCACGCTCAGCCCACATCTGAGCAAGGACCGCTTCCTCTATGTTTCCATGGCATCTGCACCTACACCAATCACAGCACTTTCCCTTATACTCTTACTGCTGCTGTACTGATCTGTCTCCACCACCAGCTAACTGTAAGCTCCTCTAAGCCAGGAGCTATGCCCTTCATCTCAGTATCAACATTATCTATTGATGTAACCTGGCTTAAATCAGGTAATCAAGCAACATTTCAATTAGTTGTAAGAGTAACACAATGGTCATGGAATTGTTTGAGTATTCTTAAACTTTCTTTCAAACCAGTTAAACTCAAAATGTCCAGCAGCACCAAGGTCAATACAAGGCATTAACAATGAGTTTCCAGAATGCTCTCTTGCAAGCAAATAAGAACTCACAGAGATGCCCTGACAGTGAGACGGCGTCTTCAAGAATCTGGCGTCTGAACAAGTACAACTTTCTAGTTCATTACGCCACTAGCAAGTTGACAAACGTGCAGGGAAGCTTAGAGATTTAAGACACAATTTACCTTTGTGTCTGGCAGAAACTTGACTTCACCAACTCTCCTCTTTAATTACAAATAATTTTTCAATTTGTTCTATCTTTAATTAGACAAAAATATTTTCCAGGTATTACTATTTCCCGAACTCATGGCTGTCATAACTGAGGAAATAATGATGTTTTAGGGTGTGGCAAACAGAGAGGGAAGGTGCAGTCAGATGCTTCCGTGCACTCGGCAGGCCAGGATATGCCCAGAGTTCTCAGAGAGAGACCAGAGCTGACGGCATCTTATCTATTTCACTTAGAAGTATTGTATTGAAAAGAACCAGAGATGATTCTGAATCATAGTGATTTCCTCTATAATTTAGGTTATCATCAAATCCTTTCCCGGAAACTGAAACAAAATGACGACCGAGATACGAAGGAAAACAACTTCTTGCCTACCAGCTCTCTGTTGAAATGGTATTGGATTCACTGTAGTAGGCTTCTGCATAACCTATACATGCTATTGAGTCTCCTGCTTACAGAACACTCAACACAATTTGAAAGGGTAAGAAAAGCTTCTCATGGTTGGTTCAGAGCTATGTGAATTCTCAAGAGGCATTAACCTGATACGCATTTTCATTATCTAATACTGATCTGTATCCTTGTTACCGAAGAAAGAACCATGCCCTACCAAGCACCCCGTTCCAAACACTGAACTGTGACATTTCTAGAAATATAATCAGGAGCTAAGTGCTCACCACCTCAAGGAATTAGCAAAAGAACAACAAAATGTACCGAAAGAAACCACGAAAGAAGGAATGCAGAAAGATACAAGCTGGAATTGATGGAATGGCAGGGGGTAGGGGATAAAAGAAGAGACAAATCCAAAAGGTGGATTTTTTTTTTTGAAGAATAAGAAAACAGATACACTCCTTCCCAAACCTGAAAAAGGGAAAGAAAGAAAGAAAGGGAGAATAATATTACATAAGTTCGGAAAGGAGAAAGGAGAAATGACCACACGTATAGGAGGTATTGAAATAAATATAAGTGTAAAAGAATTATACCACAAGCAACTCTACAGCAACAAACTTAGAAACATAGAAGAAACTAAGGTTTCCTGGCAAAACACAAACTCCCCAAACCCATCCAAGAATGGAAAATTTAAACAGAGTGATTAGCACCAGAGAGAGTAGAAATATAACAATCCCTAACTAAATATATGACCGATGTATGCACAGAATGCAGAGAGCTACCTTAACCACGACTTTGAAACCCCTTCATCCTCTCATTTATGAGACCAAATGCTGTCTAAAAATGTAGCTTGTACCTTGCTTTTCTTCCTTTTCCCTGTCGTGGCACACACTGAAATACCAATGTTCCCACAGCACGTGGCAGTCAAAGCAGAAAGGTGCTCAAGGCTCGGGGCACAGGTGAGACTCTGGTCCCCCTCCCCGACTCCACCACCAGCAAACCAGCACCCCCCCCCCTTACCAGCAGCCCGCTCACACACCCCAGAAGGATGCTCTGAGTTCAAGCCACCTGCCAGGAATGTGTAAAACACAGAAATCTGAAAACTAGGATTAACGTGGACAACACAGACACTGAATAACTTGTTCTGGAAAAACTAACCATAAAGTTATCAGAGGTCACTGGGCTTGGACTCATATCTGAAAACTGGTCTTCCAAGCTTTCACAGCCGTTTACATTTACAATAGCATCATTGTTTGCAACAGACAGCATTAAAACTACAAAATCTTTATTCCATAGATCTATTATAGAAATGGAAGGGCTTCCCTGGTGGCGCAGTGGTTAAGAATCCGCCTGCCAATGCAGGAGACACAGGTTCAAGCCCTGGTCCGGGAAGATCCCACGTGCCACGGAGCAACTAAGCCTGTGCGCCACAACTACTGACCCTGTGCTCTAGAGCCCGTGAGCCACAGCTACTGAGCCCACATGCCACAGCTACTGAAGCCCATGTGCCTAGAGCCCATGCTCTACAACAAGAGAAGCCATTGCAATGAGAAGCCCACGTGCTGCAACTAGAGAAAAGCCCGTGCACAGCAACGAAGACCCAATGCAGCCATGAATAAATAAATAAATTTATTTAAAAAAAAAAAAGAAATGGAAGACACCGACAACTGTCAAAAAGTAAGGATTATTACTTTAAAACATGAATGAATAATAGCAACAAATAAAAATAGATGAACTAGTGTTGAATTTTACTACTAGGCTTGCCAAAAACCAGAAAAACTGTAGCAAACTCAGAGCACACAGACCCTTTGCCAAAGAAATCTTCTGAAAATATTCCTTCAGTTATGATTTTTTAATTTTGTGTGTGTGATAAGAACATTAGCTGTATCAGACGGCCACTGGTTTTTCCTGTCTCAGATGTATTCCTCTTTCATGTGGTAATGGGTACCATACCTCTAACTAAAACCATTTTAGTTATGTGGGGCTAACTCCACCCGTAACACGTGACCCAGGTTTGACCAATGAAAGTGCTGCATCTTCAGGCCACAGTGACTGGTCCAGGGATGAGCCCAGGGGCCAAGGCAGGAAGGGTACCCCAACACTGGTGCTCTGACCCTTGGCAATGCCCAAGCAGCAGAGGGCTCACCTTGCCAATGTGACTGAGAATGGAAACAGCAGCACGAAGCTGGGCCAAGCGAAAGAAATGACGACTCCTAAGGATGCGGCTCCGGAACCAGTTCCAGAATTTTCCAGCTGCTTGAGCCAACTGATCACCTTTTTTGGTTTATTCAGTTTGACTTAGATTTCTGTGTTTTCCAGACTAATTTTAAATGTCCTAAGAGACCCAGCTTCTATTCAGTGAAAGATCAAAGACAGGAAATTTGACGAACACAGCTACTGTGCACAGTGTTGCCCAGATTGCCTGGTCAATGAATGAACGGACGGAAAGCCACAGTTCTGGCACCAGCGTCCAAATCAAAACCAGAGCCTTCTGGGCAAGATCCCTGCTCTAATTCCATAATTATATATCTTTTAACACCTTTTATGTGTGCCACTAACAATTCAAAGTGTTCAAAGCCAAAAAATTCTTGACACAGTAGCTGATTAATAAACAATCTACAGTTGCAACAGAACTCCTGCAAATCCCTTCCGGCCACCTTTTACTCCTAGACACATTTTCTAGCTTGTTGTAGCTCCTCGAATAAATCTCTAACAACAGAATGATAGAGGGCACCTTCCTTTTAAAGATATTACTAAAATACTTATATATTTGAACACTGTCATAAAAATAAAACACCTCAAAACAATTATAGCATTTGTTTTTTCAGGAAGATAAATTAGAAATAATAACATCATCCAATTTAAAAAGTATTACGGTTCATGGGGAAGAACTGAAATCAATGTCTTTGAAAAGCAGATGTCAAGAGGGGTAGGATAGGGAGGGTGGGAGGGAGGGAGACGTAAGAGGGAAGAGATACGGGAACATATGTACATGTATAACTGATTCACTTTGTTATAAAGCAGAAACTAACACACCATTGTAAAGCAATTATACTCCAATAAAGACGTAAAAACAACAACAAAAAAAGAAGGAATGGTACAGGCTCTGAACAGAGAGAAATGCAGAAAGGAAACAATGGAGGGAATGAAAATCTAAAGCATGAGCTGGAATGACCTCTGGAACAATCCAGAACCTAGAGGTCAGACTGTGGATGAGAGAGAGAGACAGAGACAGGCACATACATGCGTGAGGGCACACGTGCGCGCACACACACGCACGCGTGCACACGAGACACCCTACACCAGTAATTAATCCTGTTTGCCCTGTAGGGCCACAGATGAAAAGTGGGGATCCGGGGCAAATATGCCTGCATACAGGCATCTGGAACATAAGATCCCTTTGTATCTCTCATTATCTTTAGTTTTTCCCCAAGTTCTAACGTTCTGCCTGTTTCCATGAAGCATTCAGTTGAGAAATTTCTAAAAGACCGGGATTTGCACTCTTAGTAGCATGTACATGCATGCAATGAAGCTGTAATCTAGGAAGCATCTGCAAATATTGTCCCTGTCCCCCAAATTATTCTTTATACTCATCAGGTATATATACATCTTCTATGTTCAAATCCACCATGAACGTCAAGAGCAGGCAGGGAGCCGTGCTGCTGACTGATGTCCATGGGTCCCAAAATGATGGAAGGGACAGGAAAAGGATGACATTTCAGAGAAGCATCTCGAAAGAGCAGCCTGCAGAAATTAGGGGGCTGTGACTGGCCCCCAAACAAAGCACAGAACACACAGTTACAGGTGGGCACCCCGACAGAACAGGGAAAAT